GAGACAGGTCAGAGACAGACAGACAGATAGACTAGTGGTCAGTACCGGGGTCGTAATCTCCGAGCTCTGATTGGACGGTGTAGGAACCAAGAACAGTTTGAGTCGCAAACGAACAAGGAAGACGACCAGAGACAATGTCCTGTCTGAGCTGGAGACACAGGAAGTACCTGCAGACAGACAGGAAGTCATCACCCTAACCCAGCCCACAGCAGGTGAAATGATTGACAGGTGAGTGAACCTACCTGGTGATGTCCTCAGACAGCTGGGCGGGGTCAGGAGGGTAAAACTTCACATTAAAGGAGAAGTTCCAGGGAACACCTGAGAGACGAGACGCAGGAAAGCAGTTCACACAGGGGACCAGTTAAATACTTCAGTGGTTAACTAATCTACACCAAGAACTAGTTAACTAGATGAGTCAGTCACCGTCCACAACTGACCAATCAGAATCAAACTCACCTCTGACCTGCTTCTTCATCTCTTTAGCTGGATCCAACCAGTTCTACAAGACAGGTCAAAGGTCAGAGAGACAGGTGAACAGACAGAAAGACAGAGACACAGGTAGACAGGTTGACAGACGGAGAGACAGGTGAACAGACAGACAGACAGGTAGACAGAGAGACAGGTAGACAGAGCATGTGGTTGTCTGTGTCTATGAAGGACAGACAGAAAGACAGACACACAGGTAGACAGGTGAACAGACAGAGAGACAGACCTTGTTGTTGTCTGCGTCTCTAAAGGACAGACAGAAGTAGTCTCTCTCCAGCAAGTTGACGTGTTCACAAACTTTCTCAAACAGATGAAAACCACGAGATCGTTTCTGAACCAGGAAAAGAAACAGAGTTAGTTAGTTAACACCAACAATAACTAACCAGTACACAAACTAACCAGCACAAAAACTAACCAGTAGAAAAACTAACCAGTACAAACTAACCAGTGCTAAAACTAACCAGTGCTAAAACTAACCAGTACAAACTAACCAGTAGAAAAACTAACCAGTATAAACTAACCAGTACTCAAACTAACCAGTACTCAAACTAACCAGTACAAAAACTAACCAGTAGAAAAACTAACCAGTACAAACTAACCAGTGCTAAAACTAACCAGTGCTAAAACTAACCAACACTAACTAACTCTGACTTGTGTTGTGTAGGTTAACTCAAACCTCTCTCCTCCCTTCTCTCCTCCCCTCTCTCCTCCCTTCTCTCCTCCCTTGTCTTCCCTCTCTCTCCTCCCTTGTCTCCCCTCTCTCTCCTCCC